AAATCCACACTTGAAACGGATTTTTCACCGTGGTGAGCACTGGGGAAGGGCAAACCTGCTCAGCCCTCCTCCAGCACACCGGACACCACCGAACAGCCCCTCTCACTCCTCCCTTCTCCCTCTTTTCCCCAACTGGAAGTGAGTGTGATAACCAGGGAGGCAGACAATGACTCCAGCGTTCCGCTGCCACCTTATCAGYGCAGGAAATTGTCTCTTTCTTTAGATCCTGTGTTATTGCTATTTCTGTAACCCGCTGGGATCGGCGGCGATGAGAGGTTCTTCTCAGCAAAGGCTTGGGGGATTGTTACAAGAATGTGCCACCTCCACACAAAGTTGTGGGCACCAGGTAAAGCAAATTAAAAGGGAAAATGGGGATTGTCATCCAGCTGCCCCAGATCAGCAGGCAGCCTTGGCTGGGGTTTGGGTACAGGTTCCAGGGTTTGGGTCTGCCCCGTGGCATCCTCAGGATTTCAGCCATGGGAGAACAGCCCASATGATGCTCCTGGATTTTCTTTTCCCAGAAGTGCCCAGCAGGCCCTTGGTCCTGGCAGGAGTAGGGCAAAGGCGATGGGAATTGAGATGGAAATTGGGATGGGAATTGGCAATGGGAATTGGCAATGGGAATTGGTCTCCTCCACATGGAGACCTGGGAGTGCCCCGTGGAGCATCCCCAGAGCACCACATGGGGGATGCCGATGTCAGTGTCCCCCATTGTGACCCCAAGGACACGCTCAGAGCTGGCCCCTCTGTGCAAGGGGCTCCTTTCTGACCTTTTTCACCCCAGGACTACAAACCAGGAGCAAAAGCAGTGAGGCAGCCCTGCTCCAGCCTCATCTGAGTGCATCCACCAGCACACAAACACAGCCTAGGGACACTCAGCACCCATTCCCATGGCCTGGGGACACTCAGAGCCCCCTGCGATGGTCTGGGGACACTCAAGAGGCCATTTCCATGGTCTGGGGACAGAGTTCACTTTCATGACCTGGGGACACTCAAGAGCCCATTCCCACAGCCCAAGGACACTGAGAGCCCACTCCCATGGTCTGGGGACCCTCAAAACCAACTCCCATGGCCTGGGGACACTCAGAGACCATTTCTATGGCCTGGGGACATTCAGAGCCCACTCCCATAGCCTGGGAATTCTCAGAACCTAATCCCATGCCCTGGGGACACTTAGAGCCCAAGGACACTCAGAGCCCCCTTTCATGGTGTGGGGACACTCAAAACCCAATCCCATGGCCTGGGGGACACTCAGAGTTCACTCTCATGGCCTGGGGACACTTASARCCCATTCCCACAGCCYAAGRACACTCAAAACCWRCTCCCATAGCCTGGGGACACTCAGAACAGACTMCCACACCGAGCCCTGCCAAGAAGGAATCCCAAAACCCCTGCAGGGATGGTTCAGAGGGCTCGAGGCAGAGCCAGGCTTCGAGGCCAAGCTCCGGGTCCGAGGGGAGTTGGGAACATCACTTCTTCCGCCTCTAATCAGCTTGTTAGCAGCCTAATAACAGAGCAGGGCTGTGCATTACAACCCCCAACGAGAGGCACAGCCTATTGTGGAGCTGCTGCCTGACAGGCAGCGTTCAGCAGCCCTAAATTATCCCGTGACAAGCTGCAGTGAAGAGGTGAGCAACCTTGCGCATAATCTACAATCATTATCATTTCCATCTTTATTACCCACAGTATGCCAAGCACATTAAGGAGGCTTTCAGGGAGCTTTTGTTTTGCAATAATTTCTTAAAAAACCTGCTTTCTTGTTAGTATCTCCCCTGCCATCTCATCAAAATGGAAATGCTGCAAAAGGCTCCATTTATTTCCTTTAATTCTCCTTCACACTTGCAGTCAGAACCAGCCTGGTGGGACTTTTTGGTTGGGCCAAGGTCAGGGGTGGCTGGGCTGACTCAGCCTCCTCTGAGAAGAGACTCTCCAGGACACGACAAACTCAGGTGTCCACAGCAAAAGCTCCCTCAGCAAACAGGTGTGTCCAAAAGCCACATTGTCACCAGCATGGGGACACACTCGGAGGTCCAGAGAGGGATCAGGGTGCTGGGACACCCCGGGGATTACCAGGGAAGAAGGTTTGGGATTTCCAGCTCCAAGGTTTGTTTGTCAGAGCAGCGCTGGGCTGGCAGGCGGGAGCTGTTTGCGTTTGACAGAAAGGCGATGATTCCTGTTTTGGCTGGCAGGCAAAGGGATTTGGGTCTCATTCATGAGATTTTTATTCTTTGTTCTTAATCCCTCTCAACTGAGCACGGAGCCTCATCCAGGCTGGCCTCGGTCCCATGGGAACTCAGTGCTGGGAACAGGGACTGGCTGGGCAGCGCCGGGTTCCTTTCCATGCAGAAAATGTGCTCGTGACAACGGGGACCTGCCCTGGGGACTCGTCCTCCTCCAGCCTGCACAGCAGCATCCACAGTGGGACAGTAGGGCCAACAGAAAAGTAGACAGTAGAGCATGGAAAAACCCCCACCCCAATTCTCAAGCTGGCCAGGCCACGGAGAAGGTCACCTCAAAACACCACAGCCTCTCCCAGCCCTCACAGCAGCATCCACGAGGGACAGTGGGGCAAACAGAACATAGAAAACCCTCCACCCCAATTCCCAAGCTGGCCAGGCCACGGGGAAGGGCACCCCAAAACACCACAGCCTCTCCCAGCCCACACAGCAGCATCCACAAGGGGCAGTGGGGCCAACAGAGTACAGAAAACTCCTCACCCTAATTCTTAAGCTGGCCAGCTGCTGGGAAAGGACACCTCAAAACATCATAGCTTCTTCCCAGCCCTGCACCGCTGCAGCCTGTGCTGCCCACTGCCCCCATCAACAAGGGACAGTGGGGCCAACAAAGCATGGAAAACTCCCCACCCCAATTCCCAAGCTGGCCAGGCCATGGGGAAGGACACCTCAAAACACCACAGCCTCTCCCAGCCCTCACAGCTGCATCCACGAGGGACAGTGGGGCAAACAGAACATAGAAAACCCCCCACCCCAATTCCCAAGCTGGCCAGGCCACAGGGAAGGACACCTCAAAACACCACAGCCTCTCCCAGCCCAGCACRCTGGCCACCAGCCAGGCCTCTCCCCACTACCCCCTTACCTTTTCCGCCGACTGCGATGTCCCAAAAAAGATGGGGATGAAGGCTAACCACACAATGCAAGTCGTGTACATGGTGAACCCGATGGGTTTGGCTTCGTTAAAGGTCTCSGGGACCCCGCGGGTCTTTATGGCGTACACAGTGCAGGTGACCATGAGGAGCATGCTGTACCCGAGCAAACAGATGAGCGACAGGTCCGAAATGTCACATTTGAGGATGCCCCGGGCAAAGTGGGGGTTTGTAGTCCGCTGGTCCTCGTAGTCGATGACCGAGTGGGACGGGTCCACGATGAACCAGATGCAGACGCCGACGAGCTGCAGCGAGATGAGGCTGAAGGTGATGACGAGCTGCGAGGCGGGGCTGATGAAGCGCGGCGCGCTCACYGACTTCTTGCCCTGCTCGAAGATGCGGTAGATGCGGTTGGTCTTGGTGAGCAGCGCGGCGTAGCTGATGCTCATGCCCAGCCCCAGGAAGATGCGCCGCAGCGAGCAGGTGCTCAGGTCGGGCTCGGCGATCATCAGGAAGGTGGTGGCGTAGCAGAGGAAGATGCCCGTGAGCAGGACGTAGCTGAGCTCCCGCCCCGACGCCTTGACGATGGGCGTGTCGTTGTAGCGCACGAAGGTGATCACCACGAACAGCGTGGCGATGATGCCCACGATGGCGATGAAGACGGGCACCACGGCCCAGGGAGAGCTCCACTCCAGCTTGATGATGGGGATGGGCGTGCAGCTGGTGTGGTTCTCGTTGGGCCGCTCGTTGAAGTGGCAGCGYTTGCAGTGGAACTCGTCCAGCTGGTACTGGTAGCCGTCGCAGCGCTCGCAGTGCCAGCAGCACGGGATGCCCTTCACCAGCTTCTTCCTCTCGCCCGGCTTGCAGGGCAGGCTGCAGATGGAGCTGGGCTGCTGSCTGCCGCCCCCCGGCCACAGCATGTTCTCCACCTGCGGGGAGATGGCACCGGCCCTGCTGAGGGCAATCCTGAAATGTCCTGTCCTGCCCTGACCAGATCCGGACCCTCAACCCATCAGCACATCCCTCCAAGGGTCCCAGCCCAACCTGGCACAGGGACAGGGAGCTGGTGAAGATCTCCATTGGCCTTTTTGGGAAGATTCAATGCCAGGAACCCAAAATTAAGTGCCTCCTTCTCTGAGGAAACCTCATCTGCTCTGGTCTGACTTCTTTTCCCTGTCCCATACCCAGAGTCTGTGGGGTGTAGTCACACCTGGGGACACCTTCCCCTCTGCCCCCACAATCTTTGTCAGCCTGGGGTTCACAGACCCTCTGTGGTGAGAAGAGAAAGCTGCAGGATCTTCCCTTTGAAGCACAGCCTTACCTTGAGGTGCAGGTGGTCTGTCCACTGCCCAATGACTTTGTACTCAGGGGTGGAGTTCCTGATCTGGTAYTGGTAGATGTCGTAACGCCCCGGAGCATCCCCGTTCTCATTGAATGTCACAGGAGTCCCAGCAATGCCTGCAAAAAAGGGGGGGCTCAGCACCCAGAGCACCCCCAGAACCCCCACCCTGCTGMCGGGGTCTGGTTTGGTGCTCCCCCCTCCCTGTTCCTTTTAAGAAAGGGGAAAAAGCAGCTTTAAAAGTTAAATCAAGTGAAATCTGCAGATAAACACCAGTGAAAGGAAAGAAGAGAAGAATCAAGCAAGAGGGGAAAATAAATAAAAGAGACACTGTGGAGGAGATCAGAGGGTGGAGATAAATAGAAATAATAAGGAGGCCAGACAGAAAATGTTTATTAGGGGGACAGAGCAGAGGAAAAGATGTGTTTCCAGAGGAGATCTGAGACAGACAAGGSCAGAGCAGCAGGAGGCAGTGGGACCTCAGCCAGCCAGGAGGGAGGAGGTGGCGGGGGGAGAGGGGAGTKGGGAGAGGATGGGGAGGGCAGCAGGTGAGGCAGGATGAGGGCAAGATGAAGGCAGGTGAGGGCAGGGCAGCAGGTGAGGGCACAATTGCTGCAGGATTATGCTCCAAAGGCTCCCTGGAGACGTGGCAGCTCAGAYCTCCTCACCTGCYGATCAAACAGCACCACAAATAAACSATGGGTGYTGCCCTGTGACCCTCAGTGGTGACATCCASAGCGATGGGGGACAACCAGAGACCCCCAACCCCTGGGACCACCCCTGGGGGCACAGCAAACCTGAGAAGTTGACGTTGCGGATGTACTTGAGCAGCTCCACGCCATCCACGGGGTCCATGCGGGGGCACAGCCCCACCTTGCCGGGGCACAGGTTCTTGTGCATGTTGTGCAGGGCGTGGCCCATGGCGTAGACGGCGTCGATGACGAACTGCACCTTCCCCTCCTGCTCGTACGAGGAGTCCTGGCCGATCCGCTCGCGGTCTGCGGGGACAGGAGAAGGGGGTTCCATCCATCTCTGTGCCCCAGACATACCCCCCAGGATCCCCCCAAACTCGTGCAGACAAGCCCACCCTGAGCTGGAGCAGCTGGAAATTCCACCCTCATTCCCAAATCTGCCCACCCAGGAGCCCAGAGCCAAGGAACATTCCCTGGGGAGCACCCAACCAACCTCCCCGTCACGTGGCTCTGAAAATGGGGGTGCTGGCACCCTGCTGTGCTGCCAAGAGTGCTTGGGATGTCACATCCCAGTGCCGTGGGACATCCAGGTCTGCCAGCAGGACGTGGACTGGGCTGTGACCAACATCCCACTCTCGCCCCTTGCCTCAGCCCTCCTTCATCTCCCAGGAGTTTCCACCAGCTCAGTTTCCTCCAGCAGCAACAGGGACCGCCCAGGCAGCTCCATCACTGGCTGCCTGTCCCCCGTCTCACCCCCAAAGCCTCCTGTCACCCCAATGTCCCTGTCACCCCGTGCCACCCTCCCGCCTCGCTGACCCCACAGCCTCCCCGGCTGGCAGGATCCTGCAAGGATCTGGCAATTACCACTGACAGCTGCCTTCCCCCCGTCATAACCGCCCTTAATGGGACCAGAAACATGTTAATCACTTAGCAGAAGACACCGATTAACACAGAACGCTGTTAATTACGGCTAAGAGAGCGTGTCCCAAGGGGCACTGCCGCGATGGAGAGCTTCAGCCTCTGCCCCTCCATCCCTGCCCCCAAGGCATGGCCGGGCCACCAAAGGGAGAGAGGGTTTGTCAGGGAGCCGAGGGCATGGCCTGCCTCCTCTGAGAGCTGGCACATCCTGGAAAGCCATGTCAGGGTGCCCAAAATTAACACCAGCTCCAGATTTGCACCCTGATAGGTGGGAGGTGGGATTCTGAGTGGGATTAACGGGGACTGCAGGACACCAGGTGCTGATCCCTTCCATCCCTGCTGGGCCAGAGTGGGATGAAGCTCCAGTGAGAAGAAATGGCCCCGTGAGCCACACTGGAGGTCCCTGCACCGGGACCYGTGCCACCGACATGACACCAAAGCGAACGGATAACGAACTGACCGACAGCAAAAGATGATATCAGGGAGGTGAATTCATACAGCCCATCCTTCAAAGTTATAAAAACGCTTTTGGAACGTGGAGATTACTCATGCAAAGCCCGGCAGGTGATCCCTCCTTCCACATTATTGACAGCAGCCATTAATCTTCTCCCTCAACTTGGGGCCCTTCCCCATATTCATCTCCCGAGGCGCAGACAGGCCACTCTGTCTTGTCAAGATAATTACCCATTAAAAGAGGAGCTGTAATAGACTGTCCAGGGGAGCCGAGCCCATRGGCATGTCACAGCCCTGCTGCCACCACCCCCAGCGCCAYCCAGCCCAGGGGACAGGCRGGACCCAGCGCTGGTCCCTTACAGCTCCTCAGCATCCCGCACCCATCCCAAAATCCAACCSAGCACAGGCTGGGGAGGCTGGATTTTCCATCCCTGTGCCAAGGCTGAGCACTGCAGATAAGGACACATCCCTGGGGCTGTCTGCACCTTGCCCCAGGCCCCAGCTGCTTTTTTTCCAGACTGGAATCACACCGGAGCACAGAGGGGCAGCGCRGAGCAGACAGCCGAGGCTTGTTCCCAACCTGGAGACAATAAATCTCTGCCAAGCTCCGCTAGATGAGGGCCAYGGAAGGGAGGTGACCTGCTGATTATAATAGCAGGGTCGTGCGTCGTTCTACAGGGCCGGTAATTAATTTTCAAGAGCGTGACGAGGCTCGGCGGCCCCTCGGAGGAGGGACCAGCTCCTCTCCAGCGGCGGATGAGATGGGATTAGCATCAATTCCCAGAGCGCCACCGGCCCTGGCTTTTGGCAGAACTTAATCAAAATCGCTCCCAGCACAGCTCTGGGGAGCTGGGGATGGAGGATTCACAAATCTCAGCACCCAGCACCCCTGGCTGTGCTTTTGGGCTGGGTGAGCCCAGCTGAGAGCAGGGACGGTGTCTCCACGTGGGATGCTCATGGCAAACATCTGATGGGTGCCAGGGCTGGTCCCAGGGGTAACACAAGCAGTTTCCATCAGGAATTCCATCAGCTCAGCCCTCAACTTCCTCCCAGCTCTCCCATCCAGGAACGGGAACCAGGAGCTGCCCAATTCAGGGTGGGATTCTTCGGTTTGGGGTGGAATAAACAAGCCAAGCTGGCATTTCTTGGGCATGCTGGGCTCTACCCAAACCCGAGGAAAGYTGTTTGGCAGCAGGAGGATCTGCAGGAGCTCGTGGATGTTCAGGGGCAGGTGATTTGCTTCACCAGGCGTTAGCTCCCTGCTCTATCTGCCAAGCAAACACTCRGGGGATGGTTTATTTGCTGACAAATTGCGATGATTTAAAGACAGCTCCCAGGACATTTGCCACATYGCAGTTTCAGCTGCTTCCACTGACACCTTGGCCCTGAAATATCACCTGTTTAAAAGCTACATCGTGGTGGAGATGAGGAGATGAGCGCTCACGGGGCCTGCTCATGCATCTCCTGGTGCTGAGAATTCCGAGATGTGCTCGGGGAGGATGAGGAGCTCTGGGCTACCCAAGGCCATGGCCACGGGCCCGTTTCCTTGAAGGGCCTTGCTGCTTGCCCAGATTAACCCACCCAGATCACCAGCTGGACGTTTGGGGAATGACTGCAAGGACAGGGATGAGGAAGAACCATCCAGATCATCAGTGAATCTTTGGGGAATGTCTGCAAGGATAGGGATGAGGAAGAACCATCCAGATCATCAGTGAATCTTTGGGGAATGCCTGCAAGGATAGGGATGAGGAAGAACCATCCAGAACATGTGGGGAATGCCTGCAAGGACAATGATGTGAAAGAACCATCCAGAACATCAGGGAACCTTGGGGGGATGCCTGCAAGGACAGGGATGAGGAATAACCACCTAGATCCTCCACTGAACATTTGGGGAACGCCTGTAAGGACAAGGATGTGGAAGAACCATCCAGAACACCAGCTGGACCTTTGTAAATGCCTGCAAGGACAGGGATGTAGAAGAACCACCCAAATCACCAGACAAACCTTTGGGGAATGTCTGCAAGGACAGGAATGAGGAAGAGCAATCCAGATCATCCACTGAACATTTGGGGAATGCCTGCAAGGACAGCAATGTGGAAGAACCATTCAGATCACCAGACAAACATTTGGGGAACACCTGCAAGGACAGGAATGTGGAAGAACCATCTAGAATGTCAGTAAACCTTTGGGGAATGCCTGAAAGAACAGGGATATGGAAGAACAATCTAGATCATCAGCTGAATATTTGGGGAATGCCTGCAAGGACAGGGATGAGGAAGAACAATCCAGAACATGTGGGGAATGCCTGCAAGGACAGGGATGAGGAAGAACCATCCAGAACATCAGTGAACCTTTGGAGAATGCCTGCAAGGACAGGGATGTGGAGGCACTATCCAGACCATCAGTGAATCTTTGGGGAATGTCTGCAAGGGCAGGGATGAGAAAATACAATCCAGATCATCCACTGAACATGTGGGGAATGCCTGCAAGGACAGCAATGTGGAAAAACCATTCAAATCACCAGACAAACATTTGGGGAGCACCTGCAAGGACAGGGATGTGAAAGGACCGTCCAGAACATCAGTGAACCTTTGGGGAATGTCTGCAAGGACAGGGATGAGGAAGAACCATCCAGAACATCAGCTGGACCTTTGTAAATGCCTGCACGGACAGGGATGTGGAAGTGGTGAAAGTAGAGGGCAAAAAACAATCCCTTCATGATGCAACTTCCCAGGCACAGGCAGGTCCCTCTGCCTGACGGCACACGATGGCTTCAGAACACATCCCTCCCAAGGGGACAAAGGGACGTGCCAATGTCCCCAAGTCCTGCCACGTCGCAGCCCACGAGCCACGGCGCCGTTATCTGTCTTCAGCCGGTGCCAGGCAGGCAGTAAATCTCTCCCATCTCTCAGTAAACATGTCACCTCCCCGAGCCTCCAACCATCACCTGACAGCAGCGCTGTCAGCAAGACAGATCCCCGGCTGCCTTGTTTACTGCRCTCGTCCCTAAAGCCTCTTTTGGCTGGAAATGACTAAAAACGCACAGTGGGGCTTGAGGAAGGAGCGGAGAACCTGGAATGGAGCTCTGACGGGATGCCCAGCAGGCAAAGAAACCACGCTCACAACCAGAACTGCAAACCCCCGTGAGCCCCTGCCCTCCCATGGCAGTTCCCAGCTCTTACTGGTGCATTTCTTGATGCTGCTGCCCTTCCTCAGAGCGTGCCGGCTCAGCTTGCAGTGGAAATTCTCCTCCCAGAACTCGGCAAACCAAATGTTCCGGCGGTTGTTGTCCAGGGTCCTGCTGGAGAAGTAGCGGTCGAAACCTGCCCGGGGGGAAAAAGCGGATGGAGGGGATAAATCCCGAGGGTGGCAGAGAGAGAGGTGTCACATGTTCCCAGAGTCCCCAGGAAGGGGGGAGGGATGTGCTGTGAGCGATGGGGACACATCAGTGTGGTGGAATTGTGTCCAAAGTGCCACTCGGGCAGAGATGAGAGTGGAAAAGACTCAGGGAGGACTTGAGCAAAGCAGAGACTTTGTGGGACTTTGAGGATAACAGGAAATGCTTTTCTAGGTGATAAAGGGAGAGTAGGGAAAATAGGGAGGTGATTGGAGGTCTTTAAGGACCCTTCCAATCACTATTCTGTGATTCCACAATGATTTCACAGCCAAAACCCACAGTCAAGGAAGGGGCTGGCGACCCAGGGTGAGCTGAGGGGACCCACGGAACACAGTCCATACCTCTGACTGAGACCCGCTTGGGCAGGATGGTGACGGAGCCCTCGGCCACCTCCTCCAGGTGCAGGACCGGGGCAATTTTGGAGCCCCAGCTGTCCGAGCCCATCCAGATGAAGTGCCCCGTCTGGTTCGCCCTCTTGGCCGCCTCCAGCACCCTTCTGTGGAGAGAAGCAGCAGGGGCTGGGCCACCAGCTCCATGCCTGGCCCCAGGGAATTGGGGACAGTGGCACAGTGCTGGTGGCATCTCCTGGAGCCGAATCCACACATTTGGCACAACCTGGTGTCCGTGGATATTCCAAATCCAACAGTGCCACTCAGCTCCCGCACCCTCTGTCCTCCCAGCCCGGGCAYACAGGCTGCTTCTCCCACTTCATTTGCATATTTGCTGACTGGTAATTGAATTTCCCCTTAATTACCCAACATTAAGAAAGGGAAAAAAAAAAAAAAAAGAAAGAATCAGGTTATGCCGCAGCAGGCAGGGAAAGCAGCAGCGTGGAGAGCACGTGCTCCCAGCGTGGCCAGCCCCGGGAGAGGAGCAGCCAGTTCTGAACTGGGCTGAACTGGGCACTGCTGGGCTCAACTGGGCAGCTGAGCAGCAGCTGGGAGCAGAGATGCCGTCGGTCCTGCTGGACATTCGTGGTGCCGGACACTCAGACACGCCTGCACGCTCCTCCAGCACCAGCCAGGTCAGAAACGCCGTGGGAGGATGGGAATGGAGCGTTCCTGGGTCTGACCCTCCTGGCTCTGTCTCCCAGGGCTCKCTGTCCCCTCGGGGGATCCTGCGGGTCCCCAGGCAGGCAGGAGCGGGGCCAGGGCAGTGCCATCTCCCCGAGCCGAGTGGAGGCAGGTTGTGACTCAACCCCCGCGTCGGAGCTGATCATTTCAAGTCCAGATGGTGTTTGAAATGTGTAATAAGGAAAAAAAACCCATAAAAATCCAGCAGAGAGTGCAGACGAGATGGGAAGAGGCAGGCATGCAGGGGGAGCCGTGCTGGCTGCTCTGTGCTCATCCCRGGCTGCCCTGGCTCCGGGTCCATCCCTCCCTGGGACAATCACAGCCCGTGTCCCACTCTGTGACACGCAGCACCTCCAGCTGCCCAGGGTCCAGAATCTCCCCAGGATATTYCTGTGGGATCAGTGATTCACACCCAAACTGAGCCAGGCAAGAATTCCAGCCAAAACCATCCCAGTCTGTCCTTCCCACCTTCCAGACCCCGCAGCACAATCCTGCACAAGGGTCGGGATCACGGAGAACCAAAGSCAGGTGCTGCAGAGCCCCACTGCCCAGGGCTGCAATCCCATTTGGATGGGTGAATGTTCCCAGATTCCTGATAACAGGACCTGCCAATTATCCTGCAAGGCAAATCCCTTCTCCCTCTCACCCCCGCCTGATGTCAGCTCCGCAGACATTTCTATTAAGGAAGGAAAAAAGAAACCGGGAGAGTTTGCACATCTGATGCAAACTGATTTAAACTTGCAGTTTACCCACATTTACATAATGTTTGCTGATTAATAAATTAGACACTTAGGAAATCAGGGGTAGCTCCATGTGAATCATTCTGCTCCATAAACAACGGAGCTGCTGCCGCCGCTTCGCCTGCAGAGCAGCTCATCACCCTYGAGTGCGGCCACGTTCCCGGCCCTGCTGGGCACTGAGTGCTGGGGAGGTCCCTGAAAGGTCCCCAGAAGGTCCTCCAGACCTTTTCCTCTGCCACTCTGGGGCTGGGGTTCCCTGCAAAGCAGCACCAGTGCCCGAGTCCTGCCCTGGCTCTGCACAGCCCCTGAGTGGTGTGAAGCAGCAGGCCGTGATATCCAATGCTTCTAAAACTGATGGAAAGAGGGTTTTTCCTCGGTTGAGCTCTGTGTGGCTGTGGTTGGATGGCAGCAGCTTGCCAGGGGGCCACTCCGAGTGGGTCCCCAGCTCTAGTGGGTCCCCACTGCAGACATTCCCTGCCACGCCACACGGTGCATCCTCTCCCCACTGCAGACACATCCCAGCACATCCCAGTGCATTCCGGCACATTCCAGCACATCCCAGTGCATCCCAGTGGATGCCAGTGCATCCCAGCACATCCAAATACATCCCGGTGGATGCCAGCACATCCCAGCGCATCCCAGTCCATCCCAGCACATACCAGTCCATCCCAGCCCAGACCCCACTCCCAGTACATCTCAGTGCATCCCAGTGCATCCCAGCACATCCCAATGGATCCCTGAGCATCCCAGCACATCCCAGTCCATCCCAGCACATCCCAGTCCATTCCAGAGCATCCCAGTGCATCCCAGCACATCCCACAGCATTCCAGCACATTCCAGTCCATCCCAGTCCATCCCAGTACATCCTTGCACACCCCAGTGCATCCCAGTCCATCCCAGCACATCCCAGCACATCCCAGCATGTCCCAGTCCATCTCACTATATCCCAGTACATCCCAGTCCATCCCAGGGCATCCCAATCCATCCCAGCACATACCAGTATATTCCAGCCCAGACCCCACTCCCAGTCCATCCCAGTGCATCCCAGCACATCCCAGTTCATCCCAGCACACTCCAGCACATCCCAGCACATCCCAGCACATCCCAGCATATCCCAGCGGATCCCACCACATCCCAGCCCATCCCAGCCCATCCCAGTCCATCCCAGTCCATCCCTGCCCCAATCCCCCTCCCAGCCACACCTGATATCATCCTCGTTGGCGAAGATGATGACGGCGCGGGCGTGCGAGGTCTCCAGGAGCCGGCGGATGATCTTGTCAAACTCCCCCGGCTTGGGCTCCCTCGGGATCTTCACGGACTGGGCCACGCAGACCCCGCCTGCGGCAGAGATGGCACTGAGGCACCCTGGACACGGGTCCCTGTCCCCAGGGATGGCCCCTCTCACAGGGCTCCTCAGCCTGGCAGGAGAGTGGGGGTCTCTCCAGCCGTGCCACAGAGCCTGGCTCATCACCAGAGCATCTCCTCAGCCCACCACCAACAGATTTCCAGCCACCACCCAACCCTTGGGACATGTCCCCCAGCCCTCCCCTCACCCCTCCACTCCCAGGTCAGTGCCTGCATCCCTCCTCTCCCCCCAGCTCAGCCCTTCTGCACCCCCTTCCTCCCACCCTGCATCTCCTCACTGCCTCCCATCCACCCCACCTTCAGCCACCACCAACCACATCTCACTCCAAACAYCCCCAGGACAGACACACAGCCCATCCCAGCAGCTCAGTGAGGATTTTCCAGMCAGTTCTGAGCACCAGCCCCTCCCCARCCCAYRATTTGCAAAGGGTTCTGCACACGGAATGGACAAACTCTGGCAAAACCATCCCATGGGAAGWGCAGATGAGCCCTTTGCCCCCCAGACAGCAGCCAGGCCCTGCAGAGGGCTTTATTTCCATCCCTAAGCCCTTTATTTCCAACTGGCTAAATTCCAGCCCAGCTTTCCAAGGACCCACTGCAAAAGCAGGTAATTAAAATTAAAAGAGACAATTGGAAGAGCCCCCACACTTCACTGCTGGGGCTCCCAGCCTCCAGCTCCACAAAGCCAGAGCCCTCCTGCTCCTGYATTTCTGCAGATGCCAATACAGAGAGAGATGGGAGAGAAAATTAAACATTGCGGGACCTTCTGGATGTAATTGATGGTCTCAATTTGCATAGTAAATGACACGGCTGATGCCTCCTGCCACTAACAGATCGCAGCTTAAGCAAAGGTCGGCATAATTACCACCCAGGGCCAGGAGACATTCCCAGAGCAGGGCCCTGGAGAGGAGCAGGACACAACAGGATGGGGACAGGCTCCAGGAGGCTTTGCTCCCTCTGTGGAGCTGCAGGAAACTGGGAAAATTTGGCCCCTTGCAGCCAAAAACCAAGAGAAGGGCGATGTGCTGGGTGCTGAGCAGCCAGAGGGGCTGCAGGGATGGGGGCACAGCATCCCCAGACTGTACCCACTGGCCAGGGCCTTCCAGGGTTTTTTGGGGGGTTTGTTTTCCTGTGGTAGGAAATTGGGCCAATTTGCTGTTTGTTTCCCATATGGGGAGCCAGATGGATGGAGAGGAGGGAGTTGGATAAACAGACAGATCAGCCAGGCGAGGCGGGCAGCAGCCGGCAGCGCCGGCAGGGCAGGAATGTCCCAGCCTGGGGACACTCACCCCGGTCACCACCCAGCCCCAGGCCAGGCCTGGGTGTCACAGCACACTGCCAGAGGCCACCRTGCAGCTTAATTACAGTTTCCATGGCAATCAGTGGAGAAAATCCAACCAAAGCAGCAGTTTGCAAACACCAAGAGCCTTCCAAAAGCCCTGGCACGGCCAGGCAGGAGCGTGCACATGTGAGTGGCAGCTCAGCGCTGGCATGGGCACACACCTGAGAGCCACTCGTGCTGGGGARCATCTTCCTGCACGTGTGGCAGAGCTGGGCAGAGGAGATGGGCCCGTAAATAAACCAGAAGAGAGGTTAAATCGATGGCRATTCAGAAATGACCGTGTAATTCGGCTGCTCTGTTAAATCAAACTAACGAGGAGCGCAGCTCCTCCGGGTGACAGCCTGCAGGGCCGGGGAGCCCCTGGCTCTCACAGCARATGATGACAACGTTTTTATCTCCTTAATTAATAAAAACTTAATCACGAACAGAAAAAAAAGTGCGGGGGGTCAGGGGGCAGCGGCTGGGGCAGGCAGAGCTGCGTGTTTTCAGGCGCTCTGTCTCTCAGCACCTGCATTATTCACACCCCCGGCACCGCAGGCTGAGGGGATTTGCCAAGTGATGCTCCCACTGTCTTCGCACAGAAATCCATTTAGTCAAAACACTCCTCTAAAGCCAGGAATCAAAGTGAGGAGGTGGCAGTGATGGGAAGGAGGCGACCACTCTCTCTGTTCCTGCAGGATGGCACAGCACCGCTCCCTAACTTGGGGAAARGTGTGACTCTGGGAGAAGGCAGGAGGTGAGGCATTTCCTCCCTCAGATTTGGGAAAGGATGAAAGAGGGGCAGGAATGGTGAGGATGGGGGGAACACCCCACAGGGAACTGCTGGAGGCAGTTTGGGGACAGGCAGGGAGGGGATGCTCAGAGAAGATCCCGCGCACTCAGTCACTGGTGGCRCAGGACGCAGGGCACCCGCGGCGAGAAACAGCCTGGAAAACCCAAAATTGAACCCATTTCCACACCTCCCAACGCTGCCTGCGCCATCCTCAGGGATGCGGCCGTGTCCCTCCATCCCGGTGGAATCTTGAGTCCCTCGTGTCCCTCCCATCTCAGTGGGATCTCGCCTCCGGTGTTGCTCCATCCCGGTGGGATCTCGAGTCCTTCGTGTCCCTCCCATTTCGGTGGGCTCTCACCTTTCTCCCCTGTCCCTCCAATCCCGGTGGGCTCTCACCTTTCTCCCCTGTCCCTCCCATCCCGGTGGTCTCTCGTTTCCCATATCCATCCCCTCCAATCCTGGTGGGCTTTCCCTCCCCCGGCACCGCCAGGGCCCCGTGGACTCTCAGGACGCCGCCGGGGTTAACGCCTGTTGTCAAACACGGGTCAGGGTTTAATCGCCACCATTACGGCTCGGTGGGAGTGCAGCCACTCCAGCTTCTCCTCTTGATTGCCGGTGCTTAATTAGCTCATGGCTCAAGGGGTTCCGCCGGGGTTCCCGCAGAGCCGGCGCCTGCCGAGCTTGGAGCGGGCAGTGACCTGGGGAAGGGGGRAAAGCAGGGACCCGGCTCGGCCCTGCTGGGAACAGCGATGCGGGTGTTCCCCCGACCCCAAAATGCACCCGGGGCAGTCCCGGGCACCCCGAGGAGGCATCGGGCTCTGCAGAGCCCGGCAGAGGTGGCATTCGAGGAGCAGCTCCCGTCCTAACCTCAGCCTTCCCATGAGATTCCCAAACCCAGAGCTTTAATTGGGAGTGGTGGGCAGCTCCCCTGCCCCGGCACTCATTATTTGTGCCACTTCAAAGCCTCCAGGAAGCAACTGATTCCAGGAGAAGCCATCAGGGACAGAGGTCTGCGGCGGTCAGACCTCCTGATTTAGGATTTGGGAGTGGCTTTTTGGGGGCGACCTCCCGGTGCAGCCACCGCGAGTAATGAACCCGGCTGGAACCAGAAAGAGACAGCCAGGGTTGTCACATGGCGGCGAGCAAACGCATCACAAACATACATCAGGCTCTTAACTAAAAATATGGAAAACTCAGTGAAGGATGAAACAATAGARGGGGAAAATGGCAGTAAAATTGATCCAGGGACATGACTGAGGAGTCCTGCGTTGGGCTGGGAATAATTCCCCTCTCCGCAGACCYGGAGCTGCGCATTCCAGCTCACGGCACAACGTGTGGCACCGTTACATAAACAGCAATCCCAGGCCTCATCTCCAGGAGCTTGGAGACAGCAGAGACCTCAATGGCAGCGGAGCCAGAGGGTCCTGGGTGGGTCTGAATGACCAMCAGAATGATGCCATGGGCCAGGGGCATGGGGAGATGCTGGACAGAGGGGCTGGAGGAGGGGACACCAGGAACACCTGAGTGTGCAGTGGAAATCCAGCTGACAATGCAGGATGTTTTGGGGGAGTGGAGCAGGTTTTTGGGAGCAGAATGCACTTAAAACGCTTAAAAATGGCTGAAGAAAACACATCCTCTACAGGCTGAGCATCTCTGCAGTTCTAAAACCCAAAAAGCAGCACTCCAGTGAAAAAGGACTCTCCAGCCACCAGTGCAGCCACCAGCAACCTCCAGGGGCCAACAGCATCATCAGCAGGGTGACTGCAAACACGGATAAAGATAAAAAGATAAATGAATAAAGATGTAACAGCCACCCAGGTCAGCCTGYCGTGGTAGCCCAGGGCCAGCCCCAGCTGCAAGAATAACCCATCTCCAGGGCGAGTTTCCTCCCTGCATCGCTGTCGGAGGTCGCTCTGTGCCTCAAGCAGAACCGTTTTCCACTGCGCTGCGAAGCTTCAACGTGAGGCTCTGCTAAAAATTGAAACTGAAGGTCAAGTTGATAATGCATCAGAAAGCAAACAGCTTGAGTGCGAGCTGCTAACGACAGCAATGAGCATTATTGCCTGATGGAAATAAAACCCGACTCTGAAGGCTCGGGCTTGGCATGAGAAATGAAGCAGAGCGCTGTGGGGAGGAGAGAGGGAGATGCTCCCCCCGGAGCTGGGTGGGTGAGGAACTTCCGGGGAGAGCCAGAGTGGGGGATGGGGATGGGGATGGGGATGGAGATGGGGATGGGGATGGGAATGGGAATGGGGATGGGGATCTGCCTGGCGGCTCCCCCAGCATAAACACCCCCACGGGGAATCTCCACCGCTTGACCAACTCCCCCTGCACGGCCAGATCCTGGCTCAGCTCACAGCCCCATCCGTCCTCTGAAAGGCTGGAGGGCCCTGAGAGCAGTGATRAATTGCAGGGTCCTTTGGGCTGCTGGAGAAACGCAACCCAGAGCCAGGAATATCCAACAGAGGGCACGGATCCTTCACCCATCCCAAAGGATCTGCGCTGGTGGAGAGGTGTTTGGTGTCAGCAGAGCTCTTWGCACAGGGGAAGATGGAGAGGTGAGGGGGGCACAGGCTGACTCTTCCTCCAGCCTGGCATTGCCGCCGTAGAGGGCAGGGCTGGGGGGTTCAAATACATAAAATAAGGGGAAAAAAWTAAAGAAAAAGCATGGTTTTGGTGGTCCACCTTCACCATTTTTCAGCTGTGGATCTACTTCCATGGGCAAAGAAGTGTGGCTGACACCCCACACTCGCTCCCAAGGGAGATGCTCCAGGGAGCAGCTCCGAGCCCTCCCGGCAGCTCCCCCAAATCTCCGTGTCCCTGCAGTGCCCCAGGGTCGCGGCGTCACCGCTGGCACCGCACGGGCCGCCCTCCCTCACGCTGCAGGGATTGTGCTTTTTGATAACTAAATTATCACTAATGCACGTCGCTGCCAGGTTGTGTGGACACCCAAATTACAGCGCTGCCGCAGCCCCGGATTAACGGGCGGGCGCTTTGGCTCCGTGTGCGCTCCTTCGCTCTGCAATTACGCTGTCAGATCGTTAACATCTGGTTAGAGGAGCCCGTGCCAACCGCAGGTATCTCGAAGGAGAAGAGTTCGCGCTGCAGCAGGACCACCGCTCACAGCCACCGCTCCTTACCGGTGCTGAGCAGAGGAGCAGCGCGGGTTTGGATCATTCCTGTGCATCCCCACGGATCCCCCGCGGGGCTGCACCCACGGATGGGGCAGCAGAGCATCCCCCAGCCCCTCCCCGAACCTGCCAGGCGCTGCCGCACACACCCAGCGCGGCCCCTTCGCACCTACGGCCCCGCACATCCCCCGCAGCCGCCGCTCCTCGCCAAGCCACGGCCCCGTGAAAAATATTCCGCTTTTCCAGTGAAAATCCTGAAGAGCAGCTCCCCAGCCGGATCCCCAGATGGGTTTCTCTGCATGCTAAAAGCACAGCCGGCTCCGCTGCCAGGACGCGCGAGCGAGAGAGAGACGGAATTAACGCCGCTCCTATTTATAGGGCTTTGATTAGGAGCCCGTCACCTCCAAGTTTTTATTCCCTTTATCCATTTATAAGGCCATAACGCAGTTTGACTGGCTCYGGATAGGCCGGTGTCCCACCGACTTTGCCAGAACCTAATGTGCCATTCAGACACACTTAAGCCTGTAATAAGCGGCAGCCTGCGCCCTGCAGGGGTTTAACCGCCTCAAAAAACACCCTTTAGCTGCCGTCTCACCCCGTGCTGMGGGGCTGAGGTGATGCCAGAGCCAGGAGGGTGCCCCGTGCTGTGCCAGCTCCTCCCTGGGGTTGGGGCAGCTCCGAGTTCACAGCATCAGCGCCCACAGCGGCGATTCCCAGGGCTCCTCACCCATCCCAARGTGGGTGTTCGGGTCCCCACAAACTCCTGCGCTGCTCCCGAGGCCGCTAATCCCCCTTAAGCATCCCAGAGCTCCCGTCAGCAAAACGCTTTCTGCCTCCAGACAAATCCTCCSAAAGAGTTTTGCTGAGCACGGACTTTCCGCCTGTCCAAAGCCCACAGACAAATTAAAGCACCTGCCCTGGGGGGATAATTCCGCTAAAACTGGGTGAAGCTCGTGGTGGTGCCAAGTTGATTTTCTGTTCAAACCTGGGGAGTATTTGTTAAAGTCTTGTCTTCTGGAAGGCGCCCAGCACCGTGGYTCACACACAGAGGGAAGGGGTCAGACCAGCTCGGCGGAGCTGAGGGCTCCTGGGGGGCAGGGAATGGGATCTCAGGATGCTTCCTGAAAGCAGAGAGGAGGCAGGGGTATTTCCCTGCAGGGATGCTTCCCAAAAGCAGAGTGGATGCAGCCCAGGATTGCTGCTCCCCAGCCTTGCTGGAAAATTTGGATCCTTTTTGGCCAGCTCAAGGATCAGCTCAGCAGCCCCAAAACCCACACTGCTCATCCCCCAAACCGCACCATCCATCAGCTCATCCCAGCCCAGTCCAAGGAGCTCAGACTCATCCCTCCATCCCATCCTTTCCTCCTGCAAACCCACTCACCATCCTCCCTGGACTTCTGGATGAAGGCCTCCACCCCGCTTTCACCGTAGCTGCCCTCGGAGGCCAAGGTGGAGACGTAATTCCACTTGAGGGCTTTGACAATGTCCACCATGGCCTGGGCCTGGTAGGTGTCCGAGGGGACCACRCGGGAGAAGAAGTCGTAGCGGCTGTTGTCGCTCAGGTCGGGCGCCGTGGAGGCGTAGCTGATCTGGGGGATCTGGGATAGAGGAGGAAAAGAGTCAGGGAAGGGAGGTCATCTCCACCCCATGGACATGCCCATGCTCCCAAAGCTCTGCTCTGGGCCAGAGGGAGTGGGGATGGAGGATGAGCACAGGGCAGGTTGAGCGTGTGACACATCAGGGGCTGCAGGGGACATCGGGGCTTGGGGACAATCTGCAGCTCAGGGATAGCCAGCAGGACCCCAAAAGGGTTTCCTGAGCATCCAGCGTGGGAAAGACCAAAGAAAAAGCCATAAATCAGCACTGGCCAGCATTGCCAAGGTCTCCCTTTGGCTTCCTGCCCCAGGAAAGACAGATCCAACCCATCCTGGCCCCCCCAGCCCTAAATAAGCCCTTTAAATTAACCAGAGCCACCACACTTGTCTGGCACGTTGGAATGATTTAGCACCGCGGGATCAGGCAATGTTTAACACTTACACAGCACTTTCCATCTCCAAAACACACCACACATCCTCATTTATCTTAAAGATGGAAAAGGCTTATTAAATTATCAAGCCCAGGTTCTCCCCACCAGCTGTGGGAATCCGAGTTGGTGGAATAAGCCCCAGGCACCTGGCTGGGGAGCAGCATCCCAGGGATGAGATGTGYACCAGGGGCACCCCACGGACCCTCCTGGGGGTCCCAACCCTCCTGGCCCCACTCCATCCTCCTCCAGCCCTGCATCTCCCAGTCCTTCCTTTGTTTCTGTGCTATTTCCCCTCTCCCACTCCTGCCTCTCTCTATTAAATGCGATTCCGGTGTTATAAACCCACGACTCCACCTGAATGCTAAAAGGCCCCTGGAAAGGAGCAGCCACCCTTCTACCTGCCTGGGAAACGAGAGATGAAAAAAAAAGGGGAGAGACAGAGCAGGAGTGGGAGAGGGAGAGGAAGGAATCTTTATCGAGGCACAAATAGGATTACTCCCTGTGACAATCGGCTTTGTGCTCCATTCCGAGGGGCTCTGATCTGCTCGTTGGGGATCTGTGACTGGAGCCAGTGCATGAGACTCCATTAAAATTCCGCTCAGCAGGTGAGGAGCTCGCCTGGCAATCACTCATCCCGGGGGGGAGCAGGGGGGCAGCTCCCAGCCCAATCCCTCCTCTTCCCTGCAGGATGGACACAGGCTCGGGATGGAGACAGGGATGCACCCCTGCCCTTCCAGAGCATCGTTTCCTGATAATTTTCCTTCTGCTGAGTGTTTTGTTTTAACCTCTTCCACAGGGAACTGATTCCCAGCTCTTCCCCATGCCACCAGCACCTCACCCAAGCTCCAACAGCCTGGCATTAACCCCTTGGCCTGCCCATCCTGCTCCAGCCTCAGCTGGAAAACAAAGCCCAGAAAATACCTGTTGATCCACAGGCTATGGGCTGGAAGCTGTATTTTAATAAACAAAAGGAAAGGGCTTTTTTTTTCTCTTGCTCCTCTGCCTCGGATGAAAGTGAAAATAAAATACCGGTTCCCAAATGACCATTTCAYAGATTCCTTCTGCCTTTTCCCCCCTTCTGCCTTTTTGATAGCCCAACTCCTGGCACCAGCTATTTTCTCAGATAAAAGACAAAAGTCCTTTTAGGTACATAAAAGCAAAATGCAGGCAGGGAATTCAAGGTTCTTAGAAAGAAGGATGCAGTGGGAAGAGGGAGGTGGAAACATCTCTCAGCTGCATATTTGGGCACTTGGTGGGTCCCTTGTGTGGCTCATCTCCAGGCTGGGATAAACACTGCACTGGGGAGGAAATCAGTGGGATCAGCTCTCCTACACCCCACGAGTTCTTTATCCCACAAAGAATGGGGAGAAATCCTAAGGAAGGGGGTAAAACCTCCTTCATCCTCTTGTTTTGAACCARAAACCATCACCCAGGAGCACCCCCAGCCTGGAGAAATGTCCCTTGGGGTAAGGGAATGGTGGGAGCTGGGGTTGGGGGTGTCATTCTGCTYTCCCAGGGTCAGTGGGTTGCTGTGATGAACTTCAAATGAACTGTGAAAGGTGGATTTGGCACCCATCATTATCATCTATCATTATCCCACATCATTATTGTGGCTCTGGAGCTGCTGTGGTGTTTTCACCACCCACGGGAGACAATCCCCCGAGACTGACAAGAATTAGGCAAAGGTGGCAATTCCAGCCTATCCCAGCTCAGGCTTAAACCGTCGATGTCAACATCAGCCTGAGCAGGCAGGAAGGAAGGACCAAAAACTGACCAAAAACCAACCAAAAACCCAGAAACCACTGGGTACACCGGTCAGGAACACCCCACGAGCAGGGGATCCTGCACTGACACCCCCCATGCCAGAAACAGGGTCAGGAGCAGCTAATTCCCTCCCCATAATTATTAATTTCATGCATATCTTATGCAAACCCCTGGTTCGCAGACAAGATTGAATTGATTTAATTAGAATTTCCATCATCGAGCCATTTGGATGGCAGCTTTTAATTAGGGAGAGCGTAAAGCACCGCAGGGGCCGGAGCAGCGAGGGGMTGAGCGGGGCTGCTCAGAGCGTCGGGATGGGAACGAGCTGCAGCCCCATCCTGCTGCCCCTTCCCTGGGCACGGGGTCAGSCCTAAAATCCAGCCCTCAGCATCTCCTCAGAGAGGAAAAAAGCAGGAAAAAAGGCCCAGGAAGCACCGCAGGTGCAGGAGGATGCTGTCCCTGATGCCAGCCAGATCTGCCAGTGCCCATCCCACTCCTCCTCAACRAGCTGCGCCCAGGGACCCCTCACAGCCAGGGGCAGCCCAGGGGAGCCAGGCAGCTGCGATTTGTTTCAATAAACCCAGCAAAGAGCGAGGAATGGAAGTGGCAGGAGCGGTGATTAATCAGAGCGTCCCCCGGCTGGCTGCCACCTTCCCGCTCGGTGAAGGTTGTTTACRCGCTGAGTGGGGAAGCGTGTCCTGAATCGCTCTGTCCCACTGTCCCCACAGCCTGGGGACACTGTGACATGAGCCAGGGGGGTCAGCATGACCCGGGGGGCTAAGCATGGCCAGGGGGAGTCAACAGAGCCAGGGGGTCAGCATGGCCGGCGGGTCAGCACGGCCAGGGGGGTCAGCAAAACCAGGGGGGTCAGCATGGCCAGTGGGGCTTAGTATAGTCAGGGGAGTCAGCACGGTCTGGAGGGTCAGCATGGCCAGGGGGGCTTAGTATGGCCAGGGGGGGTCACTACGGTCTGAGGGTCAGCACAACCAGGGAGGTCAGCATGGCCAGAGGGTCAGCACGGTCAGGGGGGTCAGCACTGCCGGGGTGGCCAGCATGGCCAAGGGGGTCAGCATGGCCACAAAGGTCAGCACGGTCTGGGGGGATCAGCATGGCCAGGAGGGTCAGCACTGCCAGGACAGGGGTCAGAATGGCCAGAAGGGTCAGTACGGCCAGGGGGCCTTAGCACAGCCAGGGGGATCAGCACTGTCAAGGGGTCAGCACTGCCAGCAGGGTCAGCACGGCCAGAGGGGCTTAGCATGGCCAGGGGAGTCAACATGGCCAGGGGGTCAGCATGGCCATGGGGCCTTAGCATGGCCAGGGGGGCCCAGCACAGTCTGGGGGTCAGCACGGCCAGGGGGGTCAGCACGGCCACAGGGGTCAGCATGACCAGGACGGCTTAGCACAGCCAGGGGATCTTAGTATGGCCAGGGGAGTCAGTACTGCCGGGGGCTCTCAGCACAGTCTGGGGAGTCAGCATGGCCATGGGGATCAGTACTGCGGGGGGATCAGCACAGTCTGGGGCTCAGCACTGCCAGGGGGGCTTAGCACGGACAGGGGGCTCAACAGAACCAGGGAGGTCAGCACAGTCAGGGGGGTCAGCATGGTCTGGGGGGGTCAGCATGGTCTGGGGGGTCAGCATGGCCAGGGGGGTCAGCATGGTCTGGGTGGTCAGCATGGTCTGGGGGGTCAGCATGGCCAGGGGGGTCAGCATGGTCTGGGGGGTCAGCATGGTCTGGGGGGTCAGCATGGCCAGGGGGGTCAGCATGGTCTGGGTGGTCAGCATGGCCAGGGGGGTCAGCATGGCCAGGGGGGCTCAGCATGACCAGGGCGGCTTAGCACAGCCAGGGGATCTTAGTATGGCCAAAGGGGTCAGCACTGCTGGGGGGGTCAGCACAGTCTGGGGCTCAGCACTGCCAGGGGGGCTTAGCACGGACAGGGGGCTCAACAGAACCAGGGAGGTCAGCACAGCCATGGGGGTCAGCATGGCCAAGGGGGTCAGCAGTGCTGGGGGGGTCAGCACAGTCTGGGGGGTCAGCACAGCCATGGGAGTCAGCACAGCCATGGGGGTCAGCACAGCCATGGGGGTCAGCCTGGCCAAAGGGGTCAGCACAGTCAGGGGGCTCAGCACCAGGGGCTGACCCCACTCTGCACCCACCAGCCCCGTGGGCAGCGCAGCCTCGTGGGCCGGCAGGTGCCGAGTGCCCGGCTGCAGCACGGGCAGCGCTGTCCGCAGGTGAATTATTCATGTGGTACAACAGCCCAGCGCCACGGAGAGCGGCTGCACTCRCTGCCACGGAGGGAACAATCGCCTCAAAGTGCCTGGCACGTGTCAAACCCATCCTCTGCCTGCTCACCCCACGCTGGGCTCCACCTTGTCGCAGCTCTTTCTGGACAGGGATGAAAAATGCACCTCAGACCCCGATGCAGCTTTTAAGGGATCGCTTTTACAGGAGAAGGGCCTGGTTTCCTTGACACCATCACTGCTGTGGTGGTTCAGGAGGCTGTGGGTAGAGCTGGGGCTGGAGAGGCAGCAGTGAGGGGTGGGAAGGAGCTGGAACGTGCCAGAGCGCTCTGGCAGTGACGCCAGAGAGATGCTATCACACGGAGCCGAGAGCACGGATTTGGGGAAAGGATTTTCTGCAGGCAGAGCGGCGAGGAGTGATGAAACCCGCTTGGACAGAGGATGCCGCATCTGCAAGTTGTTCCACTGATGTASAGCTTTAATTAGGAGGCGGCAGCTAACGAAGGACCCGTTATTTATTTATGTCGTGCAGGAGCGACAAAAGCCCCGGCAGGGAGGAGCAAGGCCGGCCTGGCAGGAAAGGCTGGGGTTGTGCAGGGGATGGAGCAGGGATGGAGCACAGGAACGAGTGTGGGATGGGACAAGGGACCACAGCAGGGAACATTGTGAGACAGGAACAGCCACCCCCACTGTGGGGTCACAGGAGAGAAAGGGAAAATCTGGGGGTATGCTGTGCTCCCATCCCAGCCAGAGCTCTGCAGCACTCGTGTGGACTCCTCACCTTGGTGGACTTCCTAATGCATTCCACGCCACTCGCTGGGTGTGCTGGAGCCCTCCCAGATGTGCTGCAGCCCTCCCAGATGTGCTGCAGCCCTCCCAGATGTGCTGCAGCCCTCCCTGAGAGCCGTTTCAGCCCTTCAGAGCCCTCAGAGGGCACTGGGAATGCCCCGCAGGCAGGGTTCCTCTGTTCCAGCTCCCTGCACTTCCCAGCAGCATCCCCAAGCTGGGGGAGCACCGAGGGGACATGAGTGACACAGSGACGCGGGGCCAAGCRGGAGCAGCTCAGGGCAGTGCCATTCCCCAGGGAACGGGCAGGGGCAGCTCTCTCTGTGCCCGAGGCAGCCAACACTTTGCAGGACCCCGGAGCCGAGTCACCCACGCTTAAAGGTCAGCGGCGGCGCCAAATGGAAGTCGCCTTATTCTCATTTTGAGCATGTCCCTGCCATAAAACCCGTGTTTGAATAACAAAGAGCAGCGGCAGCACTCGGGTTGTGGCAGGGGGAAGAGCCTCCAGGAGCCCCGAGCCCCCTGCCCTGGCAGGGTGGGACGAGACCCCGATCCCATGGGAATGGTGTCCCTGTGCTGGGACAGACCACTGGGGAGGGCACCAACCCCACAATGGGATTTGCTGCGGTCTAGAAAAGGCTGAGCTTGTCCTTTTTCCCCTCTTCCTTGGATTTTGAGGTTTCCACCCTCCACCTGTTCATCCCCATCCACATTTCCTCCCTGCCCTGTTGGGCTGGGATCAGCTCTGGGTTGAAGCTGCGGGATCTCAGGGTGCACCAGCAGCAGCACCAATGCCTGGCTGCTGAGCTGGAGCAGGGCTGCACCTGAGCTCTGTCACATCCCTTTCCCCACAACTGGAGGAGAAGGATGAGGAAAAAAAAAAAAAAAGCACCTAGAAAGACTGTACTTGGCCCTGACTCCTCTGACTGTCACTCTGCTGCCTCCTTCCCCAGTGCCAGCCTCCCTCCTCCTCTCCAGAGCAAGCATTCAATCTTTTTTGTCTCGGCAAATAGCTTTAAAGTTCCTCCCACTCCCTCTAATTTATATTATTTTAATTATTGAATAGCCCTCGCACTCGTCGCCTGGAACATTAACACGTTTTTAAAAGAAAAAACAAGAGGACCCAGAAAAATCAAACTCCATCAGCGAACTGGTTCTTCCGTCTTCACTAACAGCTTCCAGCCCTCCCAGGAGGGCACGCAGCTCTCAGCATGCTGGGCTGGCAGAGGAGCAGGAGGGGGAAGAGAGAGAGGGAACAGCACTAATCCTGCAGAACTGAGGGGTTTCAGGTGCTGGGAGAAGGCCGAGATGGGATGGGGTCCCCGTTCCTGCTGGAGGTGCAGAATATTTGCATTTCTCCCTCATTTCGTGGAGGGGCCCTTGTTCACACACTCACCAGCCCAGGGATGCGGTTGTGGATAAATTAATTTACAACAAGGGGGAAAGGAATTATCAACTCTTCCTCAGCAGGAGGGAGAGCTGCCCTCATCCCACCACAGCCTGAGCACTCTGGAGCTGGTGGCACAGGACAAGTGTCCCCAGCCTGGCCAATGTCCCCCAGGCTGGAGCAGAATGGTCCCAGCCATCCCCTGCCGTTGTCCATCGCTGCCTCCAGCCCTGTCTCAGGAGGGATTTTGGGGTAGAACGTGAAGCATCCCCCACAAGCAGCACCTAACCCACCCTCAGCCCACCTCCCCATTCATCCTCCTCCACGGGGCGGGAGCACCRGCGCCACGAAGCCGGGGGAGATGAGACAAAAACCCTCCTGCTCCGAGTGTCGTCACTGGAGGGGGATGGAGGAGGGGATCCCCGGGGACCTGGGGGAGGCAGAAGCATTTTAACGACACCATCTCTGCCTCCCCCAGCCGTGGAGGGAGAGGCACTTGCGGAGGAACGCCGCCGAAGCGCCCGCGGGGGGTTTTGCCGAGGGTTCCTCTCCACCTGGCCGAGCCCTACCTTGAAGAGCCGCAGGATGTTGGCCACCATGATGGACACGGAGCTGCCCGAGGCGCCGATGACGCCGACCACCCGCTCGGGTTTGGTGATGATGGGCGGYCCCCCGCTGACGCAGCGCACCTCGGTGCTGTCCTTCTCGATGAGGGCCTGCACGAAGGTCAGCGACTGCTCCAGGGCGTGCGTGTCCCGCGAGCACGTGTCCAGGATGCGGGCGCCCAGCGTGATGTTGGGCAGCAGGTCGGGGTCGTTGTTGATGCGGTCCAGGGCGAAGAGCATGGCTTCCAGGCGATGGATGCCTTTCTCCTTCTTGAGCTCCCCGCAGGCTTTGCCCTCGGCGCCCCGGCCGTGCACGGGGAAGAGCCCCCCGAGCGTGATGTCCCCGTCGATGCGGATGGAGTTCATGTGCGGGTAGCCCTGGCCTTTGGGCTTGGCGGCACCCCCGGGCGCCCAGCCCCAGCTCCAGGCACTCAGGAGGAGGCAGAAGGACAGACGCTCCATGCAAAAGTGACCCCCGCTCATCGCCAAGGCCGTGCTGGGGCAGAGCTCGGGCCGGGAACGCGGCGGTCAGGGGGCCGGGCAGGGCCGGGCGGGCGGCATGGCTCCGGAGGGATCCCGCTCCGGCACCGTCAGCGGCTCCCGGCGGAGCTGCCGGCCCCGGGGGAGCGGCGGGAGGTCGGGATGCAGAGCGATGCCGGGGTCGGCATGGCTACACCAGGGACGAGAGACAGCGGCAGAGACGCGAGCCCACGCAAAGCTTCGGGTCCTTGCTCCGGAGACCTTRAGAGGGAGGGGGGAAAGGGGAGAGAGAAAATTAGGCAGGAGCAGGAAGAGGACATGGGCTATTCCGGGCTTTCATCAGGGAGCCTGGTGGAAATTAGCACCGGGRGTTATTGCAAAAAATAGATTCGGGATTCACTGGGTCTTTGATTCGTGCCAGGGGTTTTGGCTTAGCCCAAACTGCATCCGGGCAGAGGGTCTGGTCAGGGCCTCGTGGACACTGTGTCTCATGGAGGAGTGACCAGCTCGGGGCTGGAGGGAGGCCCTGGGATCCCATCCCAACCTGTCCCCTCTTTAGGGAACTGCGGGAGTGGGACAAGTGCCACAATGCTCAGAGAGGGGCAAACCCCACACACACCCCCAGCCCTGGTCACTGCCTATCCAAGAGCATCCCTCCTCTTTCCCAATGGGTTTTTCATCACCTGCCACAAGCCCACTTGTCTTGAGCCGCACAATCTAAGCTCTGCATCCTCACAAGAGCTGGGCATTGCCAGAATCCGGCGCTCTGGACCCGAGTCACAACCCAAAACACCTCCTTCCTGCCATTCTCCCTTCAGGCCACTGATTCCTGATCCAGCAGCTGCCTCCTCACAACTTTCCATTATTGATGGCTTCCAGCAGCGAATATCGGCAGCGCCCGAGCTGCCYCTGCCCCAGCAGCACAGCCCCTGCCTCAGTTTCCCYCTYRTGCCCATCCCCRCCGTCTCCCAGCAGCCGCTGGTGGATGCCGAGGGCAGCGCATGATTAATGCAGGCACCAAAAGCAGCGCGGAGCCGAGCAGGAAAATGCATTCCCCAGGCAGGACGGGCTGCGACAGCGAGACCRAGGAAACGGCTTAAATTAATCTCAGCTCAAACCCAGAGCCCGGCACCCCAGCCCAGAGCTGCCGGACAGAACCTGACCGGCCCCGAGGGTGCTCCCACTGCTCCAAAACCATTCCAGCCAGGAGGACCCKGGCTTCAACTCACCTCCATAAATTATGCACCTCCCTACCCGCCGCAGCCGCCTGAAGGCCCATTTCCAAAGCGATTCTGACAGCCAGGGCTTTTAAGGAACCTGAATTACCCGGTGCCTAGCGAGCTGTGTGCTTCCAAAGGCGGGAGGCTGGGAATGCTGCAGCACATCGCCCGCCCCAGCCTGCCGGGAGAGCCCCTGGGAGCGCGGCCCCGCTCGGATGGGGATCAGGGACCGTCCTGTCCCCTCTGCAAGGACCACCCCACGCATCAGCAGTGGGCACGGAGCARGGGAATGTGGCTCCTGGCACTGTCTGGGAGCGGGTCAGGCTCTGCCCGTGCCAGGGAGGAGGATGATTGGGACACGGAGGGATGCTCAGACACCACAGCCCTTTGGCAGCCCCGCACCAGCTGAAAGCAGGTCACTGCTCCCACCTTCATCCCTGGAGCTGCAGCGTTTCTGCCCATCAAAGGTGGGATGCTCACACCACGGACCCGCTCCCAGGAAAACCCTCAGAGCCCACGGCAGCTCCCGCAGAGCTGGCAGTGCCCCCAGAGCCCGCTGCCTTTCCCTTTCTTCTTTTAAGCTTTTTCCCTCTCTGTTCTCTCCCCTTTGTGGCTCCTTTGATCATATAATCTGAACGAACTGAAGGTAAAAATATCACGGCAGGCAAGAAGAAAGCGCAAATAATGGGGAGGGGGGGGAGGAGGGAGCTGGTTCGGATCCCTCGCGGAATCATCGGGGGAGATGGAGCCGGAATTACCCGGTGAGCCCCTGCTGCAAACAGCCCAGGAGGGGGTGACAGATGAGCGCCCCTGTCCCCTCCACCTGTCACCAGCATCCCCTCAGCCACGCCWGAGCCACTGATTGCACAGCCCAGACCTCGGAAACGCAGCCCAGACCTCGGTACCACCGTGCCCCAGCCTCCCCAAAGCAGCTGCTCCACCAAGGGCACATCTGGAGGGAGATGCACATCTGGAGGGAGGTGCACATCTGGAAGAAAACACCTGGATACAGCAGGTGCTCATGGAGCAGGGAACAGCCTTACCCACACGCTCCGGGCAGCGAGGGGCCAGAGCCCCCCTCCTGCCCCATCTGCACGGCTCCTGCTCCACCTGCACAGCCCCGAGGGTGGGAATGAMAAGGTGGGATCATCGCTCAGCGTGGTGTGTACCCCAGTGCCGAAGGAAGGAGCAATTCTGCTTCCTCCTGCTTCCACCAGCACAGCGCCGGTGAGGACGGAGCCTTCCCACCGCCCTCATCCCGGCCGTGCCGCAGCCCGATTCGGCTCTGGGAAGTGGCACAAGTACAAACCAAATCGAGAAGATCTCCAGCCCCTGTGGGTCATCCCCTGCCCGAGGCAGGGCGGGCTGAGCAGCKCCAGGGTGGGGGAAGCCGGTGCCGGGTGCTGTGGGTGCTGCTGCCCCGGGACAGGCACAGCCCGGCGGGTCCCCGGACGTGGGGCCGGGCAGCACGGTGGCATCCTGCCCCCCTCTAGTGGTGGCCACCGGGCCACCGGCACCGCCAGCCACGGAGGGCCCTGGAAGGAACAGGGGTGATCTCAGCCGGGCAGGGGAGCCGCTCTTGGGGTGACCTGGTCGAGTGGAAAGTGTCCCTGCCCATGGCAGCGGTTGGCACTGGATGGGCATTGATGTCCCTTCCAATACGAACCATTCTGTGATCCCACGAAATCAAACTCCGATTAAAAATTCCCCCACATCACGAAGAGCTCCTGCCACAAAACCCTCTCCAGTGCCCGGAGGATCAACCGGCCATCCCAGGCATCCCCTCTGCGGCTCCTTCCCACAGCTCCTCCTGCACATCCCCACCAGCACTGCCCCGGTGCACCGAGGTGGGACTCACTCCGGACAGTCCCCTCTCCGAGCAGACCCTGCTGCCCAGAGCTCTGCCTGCAGCAGGATCCGTCACCTTCCACTTCAGAGCCAGGACATTTTCTGGGGCTCGTTAAAYCCGGCAGAGGCTGAGCCGGTTACACAGCCCAGGAAATGCAGGAATAATCAGTCAAGAGCATCCAGCACTCACCTGCACATCCCCATCTCCAGTGCCAAAGCGCCCAGCACCTGAGACTCCAGCCCAGCCCTGGCACCGGGAGGGCTGTGCCAGCTTCAGCCACGCTGGCTGCTACCAGCTCCACAGCATCTTTTTGAAAATCAAGGCTATTTCTTTCCCCACCTGCTCTTCCTCCAGCAAGCAGGGCCAGCCAGCAGGCAGCACAATATCCCAATTAGWGTACACTCACTCTTCCCGCTTGCGAGCAGCTACAGGGAGCTTCGCTTGGCTCCCGGTCTTTTTAATTGCAAAAGCTCCATGAAGTAGAGCAGAATTGAGATGTGGACAGAACGAGGGGATGCCAGGTTAAATTCTCTCCCGACAGGCAAAACCTTAAGTATTCAAGTCCAGTAGCCCGGCGTTTGTTCAGAGAAGCAAGGCCACGGCTCAGCGGGCAGCGGTGAGCAGAGACCCCAGATTGTGCCATCCAAACCCCGCCAAGGGGCTCCAAGATGCAGCCCCTGCCCCACCAACCCCTCGATCGCTGCATCAAGACACTCACACGAGCCCGAGCCCATCACCAAGGTCCTCTCTGCAATCAGGTCCTGCCAGTGCCCAGCTCAGAGCCCCACGGTGGGGAAAAGCTGGGTACGACCACCCACCTCACTGGCCCGGAGCATCACCTGAAGGATGCTGAAGCCCAACCAAAAGTGCTCCCCTAGGGCGCAGATCAGATCCAGGGAATATTTATCACACCATATTTATATATGTCCTTAGCTGCAGCAAGCCCTCTCCTTCCGCCTCCCTCCCGCTGCCGAGCAGGTCAGGGCTAATCCCTCACTTTGAAGGATGGGATGGCGCGGCAGGGGGGGAAGGCGAGCAGGATYCAGCCCCGGAGCAAGCGGAGAGAGAGAACAGCAGCTCACCTTGCGGGCGGGCGGCGAGAGGTGTCCGCCGGCAGACAGCGCCGAGCTCCGGCGGGAGCGGCTGCAAGGGAGGGAAGGAGCCGCCGCTCGTCCCCGCTCCTGCCACGTGCAGCAGAACCCCGCGATTAATTTTTTATCGCCATCTGCAATTTGGGACGGTGCCGGCTCCGAGCGAGAGCGCGGCCTGACTGGCCGGCAGTGCCMGCGGCGGAGCGCGGCGGCCCCGCTCCCCATCACACCTACGCCCCGACACTGCGGTCTGGCAGCGCCAGCCCCTGCCCACACCCCCCCGGCGGTGACTCCTGAGCCCCCCATCCTGAGCCGGGCTCGGTGCGGGGCCATCCAGGGAACCGCAGGGAGGAAAACGCAGCGCCCGCGAGGAAGAGCCGGTGCCCGCAGCGGGCGCGAAGCCGGGGAGGGCGGCGGGCGCGGGTTCACGTATGTTATAATTAGGACCTGCCACTTCTTGAAGCCGTTGCCTTTCTGGGAAGAGCTGGAGGGGGGTGGCTGAGCTGACAAATCCATCCTCCTCCTGCCTGATGCCAAAGTTGAAGCACGTGATGCTCTTTTTCGGGGAGCCGTTAGGCTTCTCCTCAGGGCGCTGCTGGCCCCTGGCATGTGAGGCCAGGACACAGCTCCGCTCGAGCTTGGATTGGCACGGGAAAATCCCCTTGACGCTGGTCCGACAGCTCGGGGTGTAGCTCAGCACCCCCAAAMCAGTGCCTGACGCCCTCCTCGAAAGGGCTTTGCCTGTAGCCCCCCAGCCCGGGGCAGCTGGAGCCACCGCTGCCCGTGGGGACCCTCCGCCCTCATAGAGAGGGACCACCCTCACCGTGACCCCAGCGCTGCCCCTCCAGCTCGGCCAGGCTGGCCAAAATCAGGCGGGATCTCTGCCCATCCCATCGGAGCGAGCCTCCCGGCACAGAGGTGGCAGGTCACAGAATAAAGGGTCTTGTCCCAGCTCTTYCCCCGCCACAGCTTTGCCCAGCACATCCCCCTGCACATCCCCCCGCTGCCTGGTGCGGATGAGCGCTGCTTACGGGGAGCAGAGGCAGGGAAGGAAATGAGCTTTTTCTTTTGGCAGTTCTCGTGGCGTTTTCCCGAGCTCCCCGCTTGCATTCAACAGATCAGCTCTGCTGCTGCTTCCCTTCATCCTTCCATCTCTCCCTCCCCCGGCCCGGCCCGGGGCACACGGCCACCGCCGGTGGCTTCCTCCGGTGACCGCCAGCCCTGCCTGGTGCCACCCGCGCCGAGCCCCGAGCCACAGGTCACCTGCAGCGCGATGGCGATGGCAAAGGCAGTGACTCACCCGCAGCCTCTCCGTCGCAGCCGCCGCCGAAGGCAGCGGGCATCCCCCAGCGCCGGAGCAGCCCACGGAAAATCACCCGGCTGGCAGAGCACGGCAAACTCATCACACCGCGGGGAGGAGGAGGAGGAGGTGGAGGAGGAGGAGGGCTGGCGGGGCTGCACCCGGGCAGGCAGTGGGAGAGTTCTCCGGTTTTTTCTCACGGCTGCCAACTTCCCCAGCGGCTCCCGACGCCTCAGATCCGCTCGCCCGGAGAGTGCCAAGGAGCGGGAGAATGCTCCCGGAGAGGAAACAGAGCCCGTGCGGGAGCGGGGCTCTGCCCGGCCCGGGGGTGCCTCCTCGGGGTCGCTCCGGCTCCGGGGAATGGTCTTGCCCCGCACCGCCGCTCCGAGCTGGCAGGGGCAGCGCCTTCAGCCCTTCGCCGCTCTCCTGTCCCCCCTGCCCTGCCCTGCGGCGGCTCTGCGGGCGCTGCCCGCTGCGGCGAGGCGAGGGCAGCCCCCGCCGGCTGCTCGGCCACGGTCACGGCCACCCGCCGCTGCCCGCTGCCTCCTGCCCCAAGCCCTGCCAGCCCCCTCCGTCCGGACGAGCCTCCCAGCTCCCCTCCCGGAGCCCTCGCCGGACAGCGGGCACCTCTGGGGACAAAGGTGGCAGGTTGGGGACCGGGGCAAGGGTGCCCTCCGTGCCCCTCGCGGGGGAGAGCGGCGGGGCGAGGWGGGGGCAGCGCTCCGCAGTCCCCAGCGGTGAATAATGCGATGAGTGGGAGAGGGGGGAGCGCTGGGGGTTCCGGGCTGCAGCCCCCGCTGTCGCAGCCCCCCCAAACCCAAAAACAAGAGGGAAAGGCGGAAAATCTGCCGGAGCGTTGTGGAGGGGGGAAAACGGCGAGGCTGCAGGGAGGGGGAGCGGGGGGCACTCCGGCCGCGGGGGAAGGTGCGGGGGCACCGGGCGTCCCGGGGATGCTCCCCCCGCGCCGCCCGCACTTACCCGCGGGCAGTGCCAAGTTGGCGGCGCCGCCGGCCCCGTCTCCGCCCGCTGCCCGGTGCCGCGATCCGCCCCC